CTGCCCTCTGTGGTGTCCGGGACTCGGCCCTACCAGGATTGACCCCAGAAGTCATCTAAACCCCACGATGGCAAAAATAAGCAGGACCCTGAGGCTGAACAGAAAAGCAATCCGCTGCCTAAGTTGCCCGTGCTACCCGAGCCCACCCCAGCAGGGCCCTGCATGGCGGGAGTCACGCCAGAGATTGCACAGGAACATTTGTTTGGATTTTCAACAAAGGCATATGTTGAACATTTTAGAAAGAAGAGGTAGAGCGGAGGCCAAAAAAAAAATCAGTATAAACTTCTCTAAATCTTGTCCTTCACTGCCTGGCACCCGGGTCGGCACCGTGATTAAATGCCCGCGTTAAGCTCATCCCCTGCTTCCATTCCTGCCCTCGCCGAGCAGCTGCCTGCGTTTCCTTGTGCATTCGTGTTCTGTGGCCAAATTCTGCTGTTTGTATTGGAACATCATTAAACGTGAACAAACTCGGGTGATTTTACACTCCTCTCTCCCAGTGTAGAATTATGCCCTCCTGTAAACACAGTTGTTCCTGGCTGCTCGCTCTGCAGTAGGCTGCTTTTTCCAAAACAAAACATTTCCCAGAGGCAACACAACCTACCTGACGAGTGTTGTTTCAGCTCCTATTTATAATACTTCTTGAAGATGAAAATCAGACACAGAGATGACTTACAGCTGGTACATGTACCTTCTTGATCTGAAGGGTGCATCACACAAACCTGAGCAGGCTGCAGCCAAGGTGACACAGAAAACCCACCGACCAGAGAGCCGCTACCTGCTGGAAGAGCCAAATCGGTCACGTCTGCGCGTTTGTCCTACACTTGAGGAGTAGCAGATAGAAAATGGGACAGAGCACATAACATCTCAGCAGGAGGAAGTCTTGTTTATCGGATCTTAACCATGTATTAACTTACAGTCATATTTTAGATATACAGCCCATGTAAATGTCTTAAAACATTTAAAGGTGATAAATACCAACCTTATCTTCCAGGACCAGCTGCTTTCTTTCTTGTCCTCTTGAAACTAACAGATTTAAGAAAGTTTGCTTTTATTTATGGCATTTAGATGCTGGCAGGATTGCACCTGAAAAATGTTAAAGCATGAACAAGGGCTGCGCAGCTCGGCCGGTACGAGACAAGGTGACGCTGGTCGCTGTGCACCAGGACCCCAGACTCCCTTGGCCCTTCATAAGCGGTGTTTGTATCTCAGAGCAATTTAATCAGATGTGGTAAAAAAAGCAGCAGAATTGCTGGTGAGAGGAGGTGGGGGAAGAAACAACGGGGAAAGGACGAGGGACATCAACTCAGGGGCTGAGTTAAGTAATCCCTACCACCCGCCACACCAGACCCCGCACCGCACCAAAAACCACTGTTGCGATCCACCAGCTCTCTGCCAAGAACAGCGTGACGTGCTGGGGAACCTGCTGTGCCAGAAAAGATAGATGAAAAATCTCTGATGAAATTAAAAAGCATCCTTTATTCAAACCCAAACCATTAGTAGGAATGCGTCAATTTAAATGAAGTTCTGACAGTGGTGGAGTACAATGGCTTTGGGGGAAGGAGAGGCACCTGGATCAAACCAAGAACCTGATGCTCTCGATGCCAAATCGAATATTGCAAAACAGTTTTATTTTATGTAGGTATTCATACAATTCCATTTGCACTTCAGCGCCCATATGTGTATATGTATATACCCCAATTCTTAACCTGCAGGTCAGGATCACATCTGAAATTAGAGAAATAAAGCAGAATTTAACACTTCAACAGTGTTACGAACATTTACAGATACACCGTTATTATGAGTGGTAGTATTTATTAGTAGGGAACCTATAGGGGACCGACAAACTAGTAACTAACCTATTCTAAATTAGTTTTGTTATATTGTTTAATGCCCATCCAGAATGCTGGGGGTTTTTTAGGCCATGCAATTACCAGTTGGTCAGTTTGGAAGGATTTAGCTGCAAGAAAGGACAAAAGCATTGGCAGCAGTGCCCAGCTCTGCCAGCGACGCTCCTCAGCCGCCGCCGCCACCGCCACCGCCACCGCCAGCCTCCCCGTCCCTCGCACGCCGGGCTGCCTGTGCTCGGAATGGGGAGCAGCGTTACGGCACGTCTTCTCTCTACCCCTCCCTCCCCTGCGTGTATTAGATACTCCCAGATCAATGAATAATTGGATTCAGACATTTTTTCTTTGCCTTTTTGCTATTGGCACTGTAAACCATCTATCATATACCTGAGCACTGGAGGTTAATAACCAGGAGAGACCTTGCCGCAGGGCAGCTGACACAGCAGCAGGACAGGTTTCGATCTTGTTACAGTTTTGCTGCCATAGGGGCAAAAAACCCCCACCACTTTATAAAAATAAAACTTCATAGCAACTCGAGCAGTCAGCTCTTCCCCAACCCCCTCACCAAGCCTGGTTTTATTATGAGGCTAATACACACCCCGTCTGCACGACGGGCTTCGCTGAGCCTCATCCTGAAAATAAACTACAGCTACTTTGATTATTTTTTTTTTCTTAAATGTGCTGATATCCGTGTGCAATGATTTAAGTTCATATAACTGTCATGGGTTTTTTTTCTGCAATTCTGAGATGAAAAGAAGCAATCTCGTATCACATTTTAAAACTTGGGTTTCTGCCAGTTTCCTTAAAACAGCTACAATTTGTGCCAATTCAGCAATTTTTAATTACAATTTATTTTTCTGCTTATACTACTTTTTAAAACACAGTTCAAATAGATACAATTACAAATTCTTCTTTTTCTATCCTAAGATCCTCTGTTATTAAGAGCCTAGTGCTTACAGAGAGACCTTTGCATTTCTTCCTGGTGTTCCAAAGTGCCTCGCATAAAACTTGCAATTAAATTTAATCGTTAAGCATAGCATTTCATTGGGTCAAATATTGAGGCAATGATAGTCTACTTCCCTCAAAATTAAAAAATAACAAGCAAAATAAGTAATGCGTGAGAAAGCAAACGTGTTGTAATATCAAATTAAGTCTGCGGAAGACGATTTGGTAACAGCCGAGTAGAGAGCGCTGAGAGGCAGAGTGCTCATTTGCGCCAGGCGCGCTGTTTGAGCAACCCAGCCACACCACGATCCCGCCACTAAAGCCTTTACCCCACACTGCAGCATCGTTTTTTGTGCTCGCATTGGCTATAAATTGCCAATGGCTTCTAACGCCACCCGGGTTATCTCACAGCTCTGTAGCACCAGCCCTGCTGGAGGGCAGCGTGAACTTCCCTGTGACAGAAACCCTGAGAATTACCTCCCCATGTTATGATACGATTTATGAAGGAAGCAGAGCACAAATAAAATAAATGAACACGCCTTAATGAAAAGGTAATCCCTGACGAGTGGTAATGACAAAGGTGCTGCAGGAGGGAAGCGTAACATGCAGCTGTTGCATTCAGTAGCAATAATGTTCATAAAGAGACAAACGGGCTCAGCCAGCGCTGCATGGCTTTTTTCTGCGTCCCGAAGTGGGAGTCAGCCTGTGCTTTCGGGGAAGATGAGAACTTCAATGTCAGTGTCACTGGCAACCGAAACAGCTGTGGTGATGCTGTTCAGGAAGCCTTTGTTGTTCTTTACAAAGGACAGAAGCAAAAATTGCTGTATCTCCACAAACGTTTCACCCCCACCCCACAAGATTTTTTTCTGTTAGTGAACTCCACTGATGCGTGGTGCAAAGAACACGCTGCTCGCAAAGAGCTGCCATCAGAGGAAAACCAGGACAGCTGAAAAAAAAATGAATGCTCTGTGCAGAAGCTGGATATTGAGCGTCAGAGCAGGGAAGCAGCTGTGAGAAAATGGGCTTGCGACTGACCGCCTGCATGGGTGACTGGGCTGTGACGCTGCTTTCCCACAAAGCCATCCAGTCATCTGCCAGGTCCAGGGGTTATCAATATTCAAAATACATCTGATGACCCAGCTGAGGCAGATAACATAAAGGCAGACAGAAATGAACTTTAGCACTGATTTAGTAATTTTAGAGTGATATGAAATTCTGAGGTTATTCAAGTCCTAATTCCACATTTTGCCAACAAAATTCTCGATGCTATTCAGCACACATGTTGGAGCTCTTTACAACAGACAGTCTCTCCCTTAAGAGGCAGAGGTAATTTTCTGAAGAAGCGACTACTATGAACTCTAAGGGTGGGTATTTTAAAACCCAAGAATGTATTAAGAGCTGTAATTGAAAGAAAATTTTCTCACTGAAGTCTCAGGCAAGGTTAAAGGAAGAACTCTCTCCAGCTGAAAAGCAATTTTCAGGATGAAGTCAGGGGCTGTTGTTATTTGTAAGTGAGAAAGGAACAAAAAATTTGATCCCCAGTGTTAGAACAAGAAGGTACTTCCAAGAAGGGGACTGCAAATTGGGGAACGGAAGAAGCGACCTTGCACTGTTAACTGGCAGCAGTTCAGCTCCAGGTTAAGAGAAGTCTTGAATGCTTAAAACGTCCTCATTTGCAGTCTCAGTTCTTGTCTTGGTGAGTAGGTGGCTGTATCTCAATCCAACTGGTAGTCACTTGACACTGTTTCAAGAAACCTGTAAGGAGACTGACCACACACAGCTCATCTGAGAACAAAATGTTTAAAAAAAAAATCTAAGTGATTTAGAGAACAGAGATGATGGTACACAATTTCCTAAACTTACTGAATTGTGTTAAACTTCATGTTTAGTAAAATACATTTGAATTAGATAAAAGCAAGACTGTTTTAGTGTATACTTTATTGAATTAATTTAAGAAACTGTTAGGAATTCCTTATGTTATTTTTTACAAATTTTTAACGAGCAAAAGTCAAAGTGCATGAAGGCAAAGAATACATACCCACACTACAGAAGAACAATTCCTAGCACAAGAACATCCCACAGTACAACTACACCTACTGGCCCTTGCTATAAGCGGTT